AATTTACATGGCTGCTCACCCAAAGCCCATTCCTTCTCAAGGCAAACAGATACTTCTGATACTAAGTCAAAGCATGGGTATTTGAACACATACATACATGTGTATACTGTATATATATATACACAAACACATACACGTATGTTGAATAATCTTGACGTTCCCACATGCCAAGCTGGCTATGAGAGGGTTGAAACATACCCAGGACAAGGAGAACCTTGCTTGAGAACTTCAAGAACAAGAAGAAGTTGAGCCCCAGTTAGATGGCGATGCTAGGTTCTATTATGCGTTGGATATCGTTGGATCATGGTGTTTGGGGAACAAGGAAGGTAGTCCATGTTTGTTTCAAATGTTGGCAGCTTCCGTTGTTTGCACTTGCACTGCATGCTCGCGCTAGTGGCTGGTTAGCCTGTATCATTTTTAGCAGCCATAGCGCAGTCAACGTTTGCCAAGGAGATCCCCGTTGTAAGATGTGCTCTTTGTCCCTCACTTTATCTCATAGAATCTGAAAAGAAAGGTCTGAAGAGCCAAAGAAGTGACAAAGCACTCCCAGACATGTAGAGCCAATAATAAATACAGTACAGTTTTCAATTGTTTTTGATGCTGCGTTTGTGTGTGTGTTTTCTCATAATCTTTCTGAACACAGACATGTTTTCCACTTGCGAGTCATCCAATGTCCCATGACTGACCACTGCGAGAAATGGTGCCCAGGTTTTATCGCGGTGTGCAGGGCTGAGATGTTTATTATTTTGTTTATATAACCAAACATATTGCAACATGCAATCAGATATATGCACACATGTGATATACGTATAAATATATATATATACATTGTGTCTTCGAATTCGGAGAGCACTATGCCTTGCCGAGATCATGACTCGCTTGCCACCATCCATCATGATCGGGTGCATCTTCTACCAAATGGCTGCCGTGGGCGAGCCTAGTCGGCCCCAGTCTGACCGACCACCTTCAAACTGTTCAAACCAAGAAGTGGACCATTCCTTCTTTTGAACTTTTGATCCCACATCATAGAAGCTAATTTAATTAAATGACATTTGAGTGCATGGGGCTGTGGCGGTGAGGAACCCAGTGCTGCCACACTAACCTGGTCTTTAACTCTTCCGACACAGCCATCCAGGTGTACACGCAAAAGAGCATCTTTCCCGTGAAGGGCGTCATGTTCCTTTGTGCGTGCGGAACCCAGTCTCAATTCAGTTACCCTCCAAAGGAGAGATTGGCTAATGAGGGAAGATTAGTTGTTGTCCTTGCATTTGCCGAAGAAAAGATCGGGATTACCTCTCAACCAATCGTTTCACTAGATGTCGGAAGCTTTCGACGGTGACCACACCTAGACTGTTCTTTTGACTAGCACCGTTTGTGATTGAAATCCAAAGAGTGATTTCTGCGATTCCGAACCCGTGCACAAATGAGGGTAGGACTGCCACAGATCTCAAGACATATTGTGGTATGATCAGGAGGAGAAGGCTATCGCCTCTAGGTTGGAGGCCATCGCTATTAGGCTGGAGGCCATCGCTTCCAAAATGGAGGCCATTGCTATTACAGTAGGTTGGAGGCCATCGCTTCTAGGTTGAAGGCCATCGCTTCTTGTT